AGTAGATGCCTGCACGACTGTGCTTGTGCTTGGGAGCGTACTCCTCAACCCTCTCCCCCAACTCTCTTCCTGAACATCTTTTGTATCAAGAGTCCACTTTGCTGCAGTGATGCATACAGACATCGCTCTTAGCGTAGCCGAGAAAATGAAACACCAATCATCATGCATGAGGCAGCGCACACAGGCACACTCTTGCTTTGTCTTTAATTCAAGCTCTGAATTTGGTTTCTTCTCTGTTAATCAGGCATAAAAGTGTCATTCGTTCATTTGAAAAGAATCATTGACATTAGTCTTGTAAACAGAGAGAAGAATTAGCCACTTAAGCATCATGACATAATTAAGCAAGATTAAGGCAGAACGTCGCTCAACTAGTAAATGTATTAACCCTAAACATCTAGCATTTGGGGATTATTGCAACAATGGGATTGACAGTGACAATGGATTGAGCTATGCATTCTTTCATAAACAATAGGACAATTGTATATGGATTACCCATAATAAATTAACATTCCAGACATAAATAGGAAAGGAAATGAGAATAAATACCTTCTACTACTTTTTATTAAGGAGTTCCAAAATCTGAAATCATACCCTCACACAAGCGGTCGGACTCCTTTGATCGATTGAAGTCTTGGTGAGATGCGTTGGGAGGTTTGACATTTTGTGGCATAATTAACTACAGCCACTGGTCATACTGAGTACAGTATCGACGGTGATATGTCTCATAGGCTTACTGTCAAGGTGCCATTCGCTCCACTAGTTGTGAACTCCCACTAGTGTCTGTGATACGTCATCTCTTGTGGGTGCATCATTTGCATGCCGCAACATCTTTCTGCCCATTGTGTATGCAGCACCGTGCCCTCAGCTTTCCCTGTGAATACATCTACTCTCTTTAGCACTTTCTCCCGTGGCCAGAGAAGAAGAAGAAGTCTGTGATGGACGTGTTCTTTTTCGCGTCGCGGACAGCGTCTGGGCTTTACAGTAATACATTCATCACGGCAATCAGAAGTCTACACGGCGTCTGACATCTAAGACTCACAGATCTAAGTCGTCTGCTCCTCTCTTCACAGACATTGATTTGTGTGTCCCAGTCTCAGTCTGAAGGGATAACTAAGATAAATTGAGTGGTATTTCCATTAAATCTGGGATGTGTGTTTAGCTTGTCAACAGGTGGGCTGCTTAACAAGTCTATTAGCTGCCAGCTGCACATTTCTGGTAAACAAATACAGGGATTCTTCACAGCAGTTTTGCTTTCCGAAACCATGTCGTACTCGTGAGTGATCATTGACGGGAAACTCATTTTGGAGCTTTCACAGCTTGTACATTTAAATGAGGTCACTGGGTCGTGGACCCATTTATTTAATTAGAGACAGTAGAATAAAAAATGGATGATAATCAAGGGCAGGGAACTAAATTCAGCACTGTCAATCAATAGCTCATTCAACAATGGTTTTGCCCAAAGGGATGCAGCAACCACCCTTCAATCCAAACACTGTTTGCCTAGACTATGTGTGTCTGTAGCATTTTTTTAAATGTCTGCACATTTTAGAAATCAATGCATTTACTGTGTTGAACATCACAAACACACCAGACAAAGTGCTGTTGGATACTTTTAAATGACATAGACAGAGCATGAGCATCTCCCAAATGCATCACATCACCTAGTGGACTCCACGCACAGTAGTGCTCATTACACAGTGCATAGCAACAGCTACATAGCAACTGCTGCTGACTGCTTAGCAACAGCTGCAAAGACATCAAGGAAGGGGGGGGGTTGGTGGGTTTAGGCATGGTTCGGATGACACAATTTCTGTTCACAAATGCGTTTTGATACAACATTTTTTCTTTCTTTTTTTTACGTTGACGTTGATCACTGCGAAGGTCTCTCTGACAGGGTTGTTTGCTCTCTCTCTCTCTCTCGTGCCCACAGATATCCGCTCCCTCCCTGATGTGGCAATGACCGGAAACTGTACGACCGAGTGCAGCGAATTGGGCCACTCAGACGCCTGCTGGATGCCCGGGCATCCCTCCCCCGTACGCAAGACCAGGAACCCCCCGAAACTCTCCACCTTCGTGCCTTACCAGGAGAGAGGGAGCCTGGGACGCCTGGCCAACGGGAGCGCCAGGCCGGGCGGCGACGAGCACCGGCCGCGCCTTCCGCCCTCCCGCAGTGCCTATTCCAACAGCGGTCACGACGCCGGTCAGGACTGCCCCTTGGAGGAGATGCCCCTGAGCGTCGCCTCCGAGTTCCCACCCGCCTCCCCTTCTGCTCACACTCCAAAAAGAGAAATCTACCTGTGAGGAGTATCCGTATCTGAATGAAGGAAAAATACACCCACTTCAGGAGGAGAAACAGGCTGTCCACATGCTAAAGCCAATAGTCGTTTTGTAGGTAGCAAAAGGCTGTGAGTCATTCAAACACTGGCATGAACACTTGATTTTTGTCATTTCCTCCTTTAAATTATTAATTTATTAGCATATTTATTAAGAATTCCACAAAGTTAATTGATGCACTCACTCATTTATTTATACAAAATCCTGAAGGATAGGATTCTAACAGATCAAAAGGAAATGCAAATGGTAATTGCTACTTTAGTATTGACTAATTATCGTTGTAGTTAGCCAGTCCCATTCTGTGAAGTGATCTCTTGAATATGAAAGTTGTGATCAGTGCTCTTGTGCCATTATTAGATATAATTGAATAGACAGCTAGTCAGGCCCTATCAAAAGGCTTGGCACTTTTGACTACCGATCAAATGAAACGGTCTATCTTAATGTACAGTGCTGTAAATACATTTCAATGGTGTGTTCTACATATATTTTTGTCCGGCATTAGCTGAAAAAACAGGCCTCTGAATCTTTACATATTTGAGCTTTTCTTTGCTGCTGCTGTTTAAACTTGATCCAAACCATCTCAATAAGTGGAGCCATAGCTATCATGGAAGACATTTATCCGCTCTTCACACACACACACACACACACACACACACACACACCTTTGACCCCTAATCATAGTAGAATGTCATTTACCTCCGCTCCGTGTGGAGCTCTGCCACTGGTGGAGGAAGCTATGTGCCAACGTTTAAACTGACATTATGCTCCACTGAGTCTCAACACCGTGACCTATGGTTCATCACGAAAACGGTTGACCTGGCCACAGTACCCCAAAGTGTCAGTGACCAAACGCGGAGCCCTCGCTGGGCAATTTCTTATTGGCTTTCTCATGCAAAACCTCCATTGACGTAATCACGCCAGTGGAGCGGTTTAAAAAGCTCCTCTCTGTCGAGACAATCAGACGGGCTCTCAAATTTCCTTAAAGCTCATAGTCCGCTCCCCTCATGATCTATAGCTAATGAATGCATGAAGAGGTATTTAAATGAAAGGGCACTTAAATGAGGAGAACCACAGGCGATATTGAGCATGCGTGGAGGTAGAATATCACGTCCATGTTCTACACGAGTGCTCCGTATTTAGTGCACTTTTTTTTTCTTTCTTTTTTTAAAAGGGGCAGTGCACTAGATTTAACCTTTCAATTGAGTGGACAGTGAACTTTGAAGCTGTATTGGGTGGATACATTTTAAGACGATTGGGGAGTTGTTTATATTTGGAATAAATATTTGATTTTGTTTTCGGCATTAATATCTAACCCAAATGCAAAACTATTGTTGGGCTTAACCATAGGTTAACATAGTCGGACTGAAACTCCTGCCGATTACGATTTACCGCTATTGAGGACAACATGCTTAATAAATTATTTGCCATTTTTTCTCTTTTGGCTATTGAATAGAGAATCCAAAATTAGGGCATAACCATGGGCTTCATTTATCTTTACAAAGTATTTCCGAGTGAATCTGAAGGATATGTCTGAAGGACACCGTGTTTCGGTGGGTAATTGGGTGTTAATGATGACAACAGCAGCCCGCCTTAGAACATCGCGGAGCTGGCCGCTGTCTTTGATTTGAACATTCATTTGATTAGATTCGTATAGATACCTTTCACCCCTGCAGAGTATTTCAATAGTGAGATTGTGTGTCTGAGTAAGAGTGGAAGAGCCTTGAATGGACATTTCCTAATTAGGGTGAGTAATGAGTCTTGAGCTAGGGCATGTGTGAGCAAACCCCCAGGACAAGGCGTCCACCAGATAATGCAAATCCACCCGCAAAGCTACAATCAGTTAAAAGAGGGTATTTTTATCAGCACTTAGCTCATCATCCTGCCTTTGGAAACCATGTTTAAAATAATTAAACTGAAAACATATGGAAATTACTGCACATGGCCATGATTAAATAAGGGTGGGCGATTATTCTGCCTTGAGTGTGGGGGGGGGGGGGGGGGGCACATTATGCACCTTTCAAAGCCATTTAGCGACTGAAATGAAATTCAAACAACATCCATGATACACTGAGGTGAAAGCCCCATGCGCCTCTCCGAGCAACCTTCTCAGACCTCTGAATGGCCGCATCGCAAACTCAAAGTAGTGGATAGGATCGCTGACCTGGAATTAATGACGAGTGAGAAAGATCGCAATGAGTAATAAAGCCAATGTCACACAGCCTCAATCACAACTTTATCTAATTAAATACTTTGACTCGATTCAAATTCACAAATGCTTTGCATCCAGATTCCTCTCTGGGGTTAAATCTGGCCTGATTGCAGCCGCAGCACACTTATCGCTTCAGTGAATCTGACATCTTCGGATTTGTCTCTTTGATCACCAATACCTGATATAAATGGGGTAACTCTCAGCAGATAAGTCGTGATCATCTGTTGTTGCTCCGAACAGAATGACAAGAGTGTGATTTGATATAAGCCTGCGCCTATTTTCCCCCGCTTTTTTACTTGAGATGGACTCCTTCACTCCAGCGAAAAACACCCCTGGAACTCTTTATCACCGGGTTTGACCTTTCTTTTGAACTCATAGTGACTGAACTGTGTTTACTTCTCTCTAAAACACAGAATGGTTCTCCTTGATTATAGTATGTGGACATCATGAAGCACCTAAATACACTCAAAAGTTTGTGGAATAATGTTTAATTTGTACTTAACATTGATTTAGTGTTGAATTCACTTGAGTATCTTTTGCCTCTTTGTAGTGTGTATTGTATGGTGATCATTTCTGTGAACAGATGGACAAATATCTGTTCTTAAAATGGCAAGGGATTTTTTTTCTTACTAATCAATGAATCTTTGGCTGGTTGTGCAAAAAAAAAATCTTTTGGTGATGTAATGTACATAGATTTCCACAACTCTGAGTCTGCTGTAAAGCAGATGGTGATTTTAGCATGAATTCCAAAGATTAATTGGTAAAAAAAAAATGGTTTACTCCTTTTTCTTTTCTTTTACTTTCTGAAATGTCAGTGCTGGTTCATATTCAAAAAGGCCCTCTCTCTAAAGGAACTGAAATTAACTGAACATTTACCCCATTCTCACAGTTTATCTAGAACAAAGACAATTGCCTTGAAAATATGTCTTTACATGAAAGAGAATCTACTTGTTATCCTAATTGTTGGTATATTTATATAGGATAAAATGCTTGTGAGGCCCTGTTTTTGTACAGTTTTATGTACATACAAGTGAAGCTTTCTAAAAGTTCTGAGAAAAGCCGATGGCATATAGAAATTGTAACATGTTTTCTTGAGATGTGCACATCTTGCCTTGGATGGATTGACCTTTGCTGAGTCAGTGTGAATGTGGCCGTTCTATGCCTGCACTGTAGTCATTCACCGGCTCCCACCTCCTGAGGACTTAATCAGTTCTTATGTTTATCGTGAACAGTGGATCGTCTTATCTTACCAGTTTGTTAAACTCCTGTGTTCTGCTTTGTTCTGTTTTCGCATGTTGACAAATTCTCTTGTAATACTGTAAGTCCTCATGAACTTTGTAATAAAATCACTTCAGGGAAAAAGTGAATGCTGTCAGTGTTTTCTTTTCATGTCATCATTATTCCTTGCTTTTGAGTTTTAAACAAGGAATTAGCTATTTTATTTGTAGAAGAGCTTTTGCAGCTTTGGAGCTACATTGTCTATAATGTGACCCGAGCTCATTAAGGAGAACTAGTATCCTTGTCACGTGGGAACCCGGTGACTCATTTCTAAGTCAGGAAGCCCCAGAATGCTGAGAGGGAAGCGTCCCACAGCTTGAAGTAGGAGAGTCGCAGGACCTGCGTGCGCTACTTCAGTCATAAAAACAATGTGCCCTGAGTACAAAGCCCCCGTTGTGCACTTTGCTTAATAAAGACCAGTTGTTTAAAGCATTGATGAGCTTCCCATCGCTACACATTTAGTGCCGAGCTTACAAGACTGCTGCCTTGTTTAATTTTGATATGAGCATTTAAAAAAAAAAGGAAGAATAGATAATTCATTTAATGGAAAATGATCCACGGTTGGAATTAGTCAGTGAAAGCGGCACTCTTTCTATGTCTGATGTTCACGCTTTATGCATTTCTTCGATGTTTAATCATTAGCCCATGAGCTGTGGACTTAATTGACTTAATCATTGTTGCACTGATAGTATATTATTCAATAAAGTGTGAACTACACTAATGTAACACAAGTGATTAAGCAATTCCATTCCTCTCTCACAAAAAGTATCCAAGAACAGGTCTCGAGTCACTCTTTGGTCAACAGTTTATTCTCTCAAACGATCAGAAAGAATATAGCGCATTATGCCACATTGCAGTTTTTTTAATCCTTGGAGTATAAAAACTGTAAAAAATGACCTTGTCCTTCAGGATAATCAAAACGGCCAACCTTTTTTTGACTTGATATATGTATAATATTAATATAAGATTAAAGTCAAACAGATGGACATTACTCTGAATAGTTACATCACATGGTTACTTCTAAGATTCAGGGTGAAGATAACGAGTAGTAGTGCAAGAAGAGAGGGCATCATGTCAAATCATTTGTTAGATTTTGCCATATGATTTCCAGTGTTAGATAAGCAAAGGCTGAATTAAATGCAGTACTACAATGTGTCATTTCTGTACACTCAAAACATCAGTGTTTCCCTTAAATGGTCGTGAACCTACAAACTGATAAAAATTTAATTTTGATGTCATGATAGTAAATAATTGAAAGTCAGAGGATCAACAGGGTTCAAAAAGACGGTGAATATCTTTGCAAAAATGAGGATGAAAGATTTTCAACCTCCTGGTGACACCGGAGGAAGATGTCAGTCGATCGTCAATGACCCCAAGGACCATCCTCTGGCCCCCATGAATGTCAATGTACAAAATTTCAGGGCAATCCTCCAGATGCCGGATTTTTCAGTCAGGAGGAAAGTGTTCAATCCACCAGCTGTCACCAACTGCTATCGCTGTATCCATGCAGGAAGAGATAATTCAAAAGTTTGGGATATTCAGCACTGAGGCCCTTGAAAATGCCTTGCGCTGCCTCTACAACATGGCACCCAGCCTACTCAATGTATGTCTTTGTCACATAAAGATTTCTGTGAAGTCAATAATTGTTTTGCCTTTTCTCAGTGAACAGTGGCATAAAAATGTTTTTTTACAAAAAGGGCTCATCACAGTTAATTGGATTGTTAGAATCCTTGACACAAAGTGAATACTCAACAAATGCAAATCACATTCAGATCCATATTAGCTCAAGTGACGTAGAAATTTGAGTTCGGCTTAACAGAAAGAACGGCTGCGTCACAAGTTCAAAACCAAACCTTAAACAGAGACCGTGGTAGATTCCTACCACAATCTCATATACACAACCAATGCCATTGACCATCCAAGCCCACCTCCCTGTGAGATGATAAAGCATCAGGGTGGAGCACCTCAGCTCACCTCTTGAACGATACGACAAGCAGTACAGCCACTGCAAAAGGGGAGGCATCTCTAAACGGCAACACATATGTCTACGTGAGCACACACACACACACACACACGTTATATTTAACAGAGTATTTGGACAGACTATTGACTAGAAGCATCATTCACACCAAAGTGCAAACGTGACCAAACCCTTTGGCTCATTAGATGAATCGACAGGACAAGATATGGAGTATTGCAAGAACTAGTCCATCACGAAAAATCAAACAGATTAAGCATTGAGATTGAACATTTTTTGACCCATTACTGATTCAACATTTGACAACAATTAGAGCATTTCAATTTTCCAATAAGTCGCCAATACTTTTAAGGCCTACTAGAGGAAATCATGTATTTCTGTCACTTTGCTACAACAAATAGTGAATGATTGAAACTGGTCCTTTAACCCCTCCGCATGCTTTGTTCATCCTAAACAAACAAAAGAAGACAAATTAAAGCTTATCTACTGACAACCAGAACTAACGTCGGTTTCCTTAAATGTGTCAGTAACGTCTTGGATTTGTTTTTCACATAATGCCAAACTGAACAATGTAAAGAAAAGGAATTAACTAAGTATCAACTTAGCTCCCACGTGAAACAAACAATCAATATAAAGCTCTGTAATCCATTAAGGAAGTAAGCTGATTGAACAACCAATCATCAAATTAAATTGTGCACAATTGATACATTTAAGGACAGCTTTACTGTGACCCCGATACCACAGCCTGCCTCCTCCTCCACGCTATGCTACCCACTCATTGACCGTGACAATGCAAACTCCAATGTAACCAGCAACCCTTCAAATTCCTCTCTATGTTCATGCGCAGTTTGCTGTATGTTACCTTTTTTGTTTTTTGCTGTTCATCGTTCTCCAGCTCTCAGCTGCTATTATGATGAATGGTGACAGAATATTAAATTAAGATATTTGAAACCTCACGCACGCACGCGCACGCACACGCACACGCACAACATAACAAGCCCTAGGACGCTTCATCCCAAAAATCCACAATCATTTTCCTAATTACAGTCCTAATGTAGAATATACATGCGATTTTCCCCAATGCTAAACGATATATAATTAGTTATCTATTTAAATAAATGTAGCCCTGCAAGATGCCTCACACTTTAAGCCTTTAGAACCATTGATAACAAACACTGGAATTACACCAAACGCAGACCCAGACGACATATTTTTTGTCTTTAACACACCAATTCACAACGCTGCAAATATTTTTTGGACCTAACATACACAACGCCATTTAATTCACATACTTATTTAAATGCTCCATTTTAGAATCATCATTGGAGGAGATTTGAACACATTTCTTAAACCAACAATAGACAGATCAGCAACAACTAGCAGGAAATAGCTGTCCGCTAAGATAATAAACCAGTTCATGGAGGATTTAGGACTTGGCGACAGTTGGCGTATAAATAATCCACCAGTTGATAAATATTCATATTTTTCGCTGCCACTTCACTCATTCTCCAGCTTTGTCTTTCCCCGCACCAGCAAGCTAGTTATGCAGTACATAACAGACTCACCAATGCCTTCAATTGTAATAAGTGACCATGCACCTATCTAGTTCTCCTCAGTAAAGACTTCCAGCTGGCTCTGTAATGGTTCTCTCCTCGTGATCCTCGTGAACCTACACAAGGTTCTTCAGGTAAGTGGGAATCCTTCATGGATACGAAATGACTTTCTTGAACAACTTGCCGTATTTGGGTAACTGCGGCAACAGAAATACGGAGAGAAAAATAATCTAATTTCTCACCTCACAAAAAGAATATGAAGAATTCAAATATTGATGCTTGGAATTGGAAAAATGTATTTTCCCCCGCAAATAAGAACTACAACACAATCAAAAAATCTGGCAATCATCAGCACCATAAAACAAAAATAAAAGCGTCCACAGACAAACAGACAGTACAAATATTTGTTTTTTTCATCTTCAAAAAGGAGGCATCCAGGACGGTTATGTGCCAGCAATTAATTTGCCATATGGGTCCCTTAGCTTTTAGTTTTATATTTGTTTGCTTTTATTAGTTACTGTACATTTTTTCTCGATTAACCTTCTTTCCACATAGTCGGTCCAAAGTTATTTGCTACAGTCTAGCTCTGTTTCTGACAACTTTATTCATCATCCACTTCTTCCTTCAGTCTTATTTGTCTACTCACACTAATAATGGTCATTCAAAACAAAAAGGTTGACTCGCATAATTACATTTTTTTTCTTCTCTCACTTGAAACAACACAGGTTCATGAATTTCAAGAGCTTGGAGAGACGCTAATGTATCATCCAAGGTTCTCTTCCAGTGCGCCTTTTGTAAAAGGAACCTACACAAGTTCCCTTACTGAGTTTATCAGCTTTTATACCGTACAGCCCACCCTGCTTCCCAGGGAGGCAGAGGAAGCGACAATAATGAATAACTGGTATAAGCCGAGACATAACCTGGACGTGGGCGGCACGGTGGCGTGGTGGTTAGCACTGTTGCCTCACAGCAAGAAGGTCCTGGTTTTGATTCCGCCCAGTGGCCTTTCTGTGTGGAGTCTGCATGTTCTCCCCGTGTCTGCGTGGGTTCTCTCCGGGTTCTCCGGCTTCCTCCCACAGTCCAAAGACATGCTCTGGGGATCAGGTTAATTGGGGACTTTAAATTGCCCGTAGATGTGTGAATGGTTGTATGTCTCTGTGTTGGCCCTGCGATTGGCTGGCGACTAATCCAGGGTGTACCCTGTCTATCGCCCGAAGTTGGCTGGGATGGACTCCACCCCCCCAGCGACCCTGTGTGCAGGATAAGCGGTTTGACAATGGATGGATGGATGGATAACCTGGACGTGGGGCAGCTAGCATGCTGTGCATTCATTCATCTTAAGCGGTCGTAGCTCCTGCATGCTGACCCCAGGAGGTGGTACTGGTTGGACTGGGAATGCTCTTCTCTATCCTCTTGAGTGCCACGGTTAAAAGAGCAAGAGGTGAAATCAAACGTGGTATATTGTTGTGCCATTTGTTGGACTACTCACATGAAGACTAAACTTATATAATACCAACGTTGTCAGATTGTCAGATTTTTTTTAATGATTAAAATTGTG